CTGGCATGCTGCAGTCCATGGGGTTGCAGAGTCAAACATGACTTCGCAATGAACAGCAACAACAATTAATCCCAAACTCCTAATTTATCTGTCTTCCACCCTCTTTACAATTGGTAACCATAAGTTTGTTTTCTATATCTGTGCCTGCTTCTGTCTCATAAATACGTTCATTTGTGTCATATTTTAGATTCCATATATAAGTGATATCACACGGTATTTGTCTTTATCTGACTTACTTCAATTAGTATGATCATCTCTGGGTCCATCCACGTGGTTGCAAATGGCATTAATTCATTCTTACTTGTCTTGAGACAGCCAACCAATCAAAGCCCCGGGTGTTGGAGCTTCTACTGTCCTCCTGCCCCCAGCACAAAGCAAGGAGTTCCCCCTCTCAGCCTGTGTGCAAGACCAGCAAGGTGGTCTTCTCCATGGCAGTTTCACCTGGTGCACGAGACAAAGATATGACCCCAGTGGCGGTGTGTTTCTCACACTGGATGTGACTGCCTGCAATGCGCCAGGCCCAGAGAGCCCAAGGACGTTGCTCAAGGTCACAGAGCAGATGCCTCAGGATGCAGACCTTGGCAATCAACCATGAAACGTAGACTGTGGTGTCTCCCAAAGGGACATTCTCACGTCTCCTGTCATCAGTCCTGTGTGTATGATTGTCCACATGAGTCTGCTCTGCAACCGTGAACACAGCTGACTGTAGGCTTGTGTTTTTGCAAAGTGTAAATTCCCATGCAATGTTCTCCAAGGCTAAGATTATCAGTTGTTATCTAAAACCGCTCTTCAATTCCTGCAGAGTAAGCTGAGAAAGATTGAAGGCAGGAGGAGAAGGGGACGACAGAGGATGAGATGGCTGGATGGCACCACCGACTCAATGGACATGGGTTTGGGTGGACTCTGGGAATTGGTGATGGACAGGGAGGCCTGGCGCGCTGCGGTTCATGGGGTCGCAAAGAGTCAGACACGATTGAGCGACTGAACTGAACTGAGCCGAGCTGAACAGGTGGTTAGCTGAGAAGCCCTCCCCTCAAGTCTAAACATTGATTTTCCCAGAATCCCTTTGCCACAGACAGCTATGGCAAAGTAACTAAATACTAAGCATCGACCCTCAGTGGATCCGCAGTGTGCATTTGTTGACTGCTCTCCTGTCCTTTCTCACCCTGCTTGTCTTCTAGCTGGGGCTCTCTCTGGAGTCATCTGGGACGAAGCAGGAGGACTCGTTCCCAGCCCGACCCTGGACAGCTGCGCACCCGCGCTTCTACGTGTACGAAAGCCAGCCCCCAACACCAGCGCTTAAACAAAACAGATGGGCCGTCAGACAGATGTTTGTTTTTCTACTAGTTTGCTGAACCGTTGGTAGAAAAGTACATGCGATTTTATTTCTTAGGATTATCTTAACCATGAAATAGTTCGATCAGGTGCATTTACAGAGAAAATCACCTCTTTCCTTTCTTCCGTGGCCCCACCTGTGTATAAACGGACGGGGCCAGAGAGGGAATGAAAGGAGACCCGACGGCATCGCACGCTGTCACACAGGGCAGGGCGAGGAGCCCGTTACCCAGAGTTCACTGATCACCGCCAGCCCGTGGGGCCCCAGGGATGCAAAGGCCCAGCCTGTGTGCTCCTGGAAGTGGGATTCAAGGCCTCTGCCCAGAGGGAAAATTTACCCTGGCTTTGCCTCGTCCTTACAACGCTCTAAGGTAAATGCTGGGATGTCTGTTCTGCTTCCCAGAGAAGATGGGGTTGCAGGCACTTACTGCCTTGCTTGTTGTCGCTCCGAAAGCGTCTGAACTGAGATTTTAACCCCGAGAGTCAGACCACAAAGCACAAGCTGTGCAGAAAGCCCGAGGGCCCCAGGACTCACCAGCTCACTGAGGCTGGAGGAGAGACCGGCAGAGCAGAGAGCGCTATGGCGTTGCCAAAAGGAAGGGAGGCTGACACAGAAGAAAGACAGATGAACCTACCACACTGAAACAGTCATTTATGCATCAAAGGACAGACTCAATAGGGCAGAAGGGCAGCCAGAGAATGGGAGAAAACACTTGCAAATCAGGTGCTGTTAAAGGGGTTAGTATCCAGAACACATAAGGAGCTCCTACCATGCAACAACAGAAAACAAACAACCTAGTGAAAAAATGAACAGAGGACTTGAATGAACATTTCTCCAAAGAAGATAACACAAACGGCCAGAAAGCACATGAAAAGATGTTAAACATCAGTAATCATTAGGGTAACACAAACTACGATGATATACCATTTCACACGCTCTAGGCTAGCTACCGTGAAAAAATGAAACAAAACAGAAGATAGGAAATGTTGAAGATGTGAAGGAACTGAAATCCTTGTGCACTGTTGGGAATGTAAAACTGTGCAGCCACAGTGGAAAACAATGATGATTCCTCAAAAAAATTAAATTTTTTAATTTAATTAAAAATTAAAAGTAATTCCACTTCTGGGTATACCGTCCAAAGAATTGAAAAGCAGGGTCTCATATATCTATGTTCATAGAAACATTATTCAATTAGCCCAAAGTGGAAGCAATTCAAGTTTGACCATGCATGATGGATAAACAAAGTGTAGTCTTTACATGCATAGAACATCATTTAGTGTTAAAAACAGCAGAGATTCTGAAACATACTGCAGCATGGACTGACCTTGAAGGCATTACAGTAAGAGGGGTGAGCTGGTCACAAAAGGACACAAGCTGTAGGATTCCACTTCTGTGAGAGTCCCAGAGAACTCCGATTCATAGAGACAGGAAGTAGATGGTGGTTTCCAGGGGCTGGGGGATGGGAAATGGGACTTGTCCTTTAAGAGGCAGACAGTTTCAGTTTTGCAGACTGAAAGGAGTTCTAGAGGGAATGTTGGTGACGATTCATAACAATGTGAGTGCACTAAATGCCACCAAAATTCACACTTAAAATATTTGAGATGATAAGGGGCTACGTTTTGTGTATTTTGCCATAGTTTTTAAAAATTAAAATGAAAGATCAAAAGAACATAAATGGAAGTAAATGTACTCGTTGGACTGGGCATCTTCCCCTATGAAAGCTGAGGGAACGAAAGAGAAGGAGCTGGTTCAGACATGGAAGCATGAATGAGGGCTGCAGGGGGTTGCTTTGGAAGCACTGAAGCTGGTGTGCCTTTTGCCAAAGCAGAGACGGTCACTGGGTGGACGGAAGTAACTGTGAAATGATGTGGAAAGTAGGTACACGTGACATTTTTCAGCGCCTGCCTCCCACCTTCCGCCCCCCTAGAATATTCTAAATAACTTCTAACGATCCGCTTACCAAATGTCCTCTGAGCCTGAGGTTTCGCACAGCAACCCCTTCTTGGCAATTTGAGAGAAATGATGAAATAGTGTGTGGGCTGATGGTAATTAATGCCTCAGAAAAAGTCTGTCCTTGGCATGAAATATGATTCCCTCCCCACGAGCGGAGGGAGTGTGGGCTTGGCTCGTTGAGGGTGATGCGGCTGGGTGGTGGGTCTCCGATCCTTCCAGCCTTCCCGTCTGACACCCAGAGCAACCCTTTTGGTTTTGAAATTGCCTGTCTGGATCCTTGATATTATTGCTGCAACAAAGTCAATTTATGTATGCTAGGAAGGGTTTTGTGCATAGACTGACAGATAAGAAGAGGAACAGTGCTGTTTTATTTGCTCGTTGAAGGTATTTATTTATTCTTTTAAAGAGATTTTGCATTTTCTTGTTTGTTTATTTATATGTAACAATGTTTGGAGGTGGCAAGGATGTACACTTAACAAGTTGATTGCATCCCTACTCATGCATTCCATAGATTGTGTGGACAGCATAAAATTATTTCATTCATTCATTCTAGTGTCCACCCATTAATCCATAAGGCATTGGTGGAACTGCTTGCTGTACATCAAGCTCTGCGCTTGTCTAGGGGCTGGAAGTTCTTCCCATTTGGGAAGGGATGATCAGCATTACAATGTTCCACGACTACTTGTGCTAACGCTACATGAGCATGGAAAAGACAAGGATTAGTCCTGCCTTGATGTTCTAGGCCCCCACAGAAGTGATTTCGAGGTGGACTTGCAGAGAGAGGAGTGTCCACACAGAGGGGATGGCATGTCCGAGGAGCGGAGGTCCTGGCCAGGTGGACTGGGTGGGACTTGCCCTTTGGGATTCTGCGGGGCTGCCCAGGCTCCACCCCATTTCTCCTCCCTTTCTCTTCTGAGTTTTGGGCCAGATCACCCTCCTTGGTCCAGACTTGTCCTCTGCTTGCCTGTCATATAGGTTCCTGGCTTCATTCATGCAGCAGTGCATGCTTCTAGGGAGAAAGTTGGGTCCCAGGGAAGAAGTCTTTGGAAGAGGAGCAGAAGGAGAAACTCTGGTCCCAGAAATCTCAGTGAAGTGCATGTTAGTCAGTCAGTTCAATCACTCAGTCGTGTCCAACTCTTTGTGACCCCATGCACCGCAGCATGCCAGGCCTCCTTGTCCATCACCAACTCCCGCAGCTTACTCAAACTCATGTCCATTGAGTCGGTGATGTCATCCAGGCATCTCTGTCATTCCCTTCTCCTCCTGCCCTCAATCTTTCCCAGCATCAGGGGCTTTTCCAGTGATTCAGTTCTTCGCATCAGGTGGCCAAAGCACTGGAGCTTCAGCTCCAGCATCAGTCCTTCCAATGAATATTCAAGGTCGATCTCCTTTAGGGTGGACTGGTTGGATCTCCTTGCAGTCCAAGGGACTCTCAAGAGTCTTCTCCAACACCACAGTTCAAAAGCATCAATTCTTTGGTGCTCAGCTTTCTTTATGGTGCAACTCTCACATCCATACATGACTACTGGAAAAACCATAGCTTTGACTAGGCTGGGTTCAAACCCATTCTTCCTCTCTGACTTCCTAGGCAGGTTTGTCCCCTTGTGACCGCACCACGTGCTCTGCACTGAGACCTCCGGAGAACGGCGCCGTCCTTCTTAGGAGGCTCCGTCCTGCTGCCCCCTGCTGCTCCCTGGGCCCGGTCCTCCAGGAAGAATCTGCGGGACACCCCATGCCCATCAGGAGGACTTGGCCATGAAGCAAGCATCCTTTCACAGCAAGAGGCTGCTCCGGCCGTCTTCAGGGCGACGCACACCCCTCTGGGTGGAACAGGTGGACGGCCGCATGCACGCTCCCTGGGTGAGGCCCCAGCTCACGCCCCCAGCTTCTGCCAAGCACAAAGAGGAGGGCCTGCTTTGCATCTTTTATTCATGGGCCCTTCATGAAGCAGGCTCCCTGGGGGACATCCACAACAGCATGAGTGATGTTATTTAAAACCATCTTGCCACTTGATAGTAAAAGTGGAATTATTCTTATAGTGCAACTCATCAATCTCTAAGCATGACTTTGCAATGCTTGTTCCTAAGGAAGGTCAAGTTTGAATGAAATAACAGGAGTGGCATCCTCGGTGGACTGTTGAAGCCTCACGCTCTTCCTTAAGGTATCTGAACGAGGAAGTCTCCTTTCTGGATGCTATTCAAGGGAGGGCCCTTCCCCTGCAGCAGGAAGGCTGTCCGATGGTCCCCGAGACTGAAGACGTTCTGTGAATGAACAGGATGGAAGAGGACAAGGCTGGAGCCTCCTTCAGAGCAGGGCGCTGAGTCAGTCGGGGGAGGGTCTTCACCACGGCGAATGGAGCACCACAGCCCGGGTCATCCTGGTTAAAATGAGCTGGAAGAGGTAGCCTGACATCCCTGGGTTGGCGCTGACTTAGGTCAGGATGCCAGGTCATGCCCACCTTGTCATCAGAGTCAGCAACAGGAAGGCGTAGGGTCCTGTTTGCTGACCTTCACTTGCTGGGCACAGAGAGGTGGGGCTTCCATCAGGGAGGCAGGAGCCAGATTTTAAGGGACGGTTTTTAAGATTTTAAGCCAAGTGGTCCCTGCTGCTCCACGTTACACATGTGTTGACACGTAGGAGTGTGTGATAACTCCTGGACCCGTTCTGAGTCTCCCCAGGATGGCTCTGCTGTGGTCGTCTTGACGGTGAGTCTATGGACACGGCTTCAAGGTTCTCCTTTTTTTTCTTGTTCTTTTCTTATTCTGTGACTTTGGATCTTGGTGTTGGGTGGAGGGATGTTTCTTCTTAAGGGATATTTGTCAATGTCTGGGGACAGTTTTTGATGACTGTGACTTGGAGGGTTGCTACTGATACCCCCTGGGGAGAACTAGAGAGAATCCTAACCATCCTACAGTGGCCAGGACAGCAGCTCAGGAGAGAACAGTCTATTTTAGGACTGTTTTCAGCGCAGTTAACAGCTTCATTGAGATACATAAGACATCAGCCATTTGGAGTGTACATTTCAGGGCTTTTTACTATGTTCACAGATATGTGCAACTATCACTTCATCAATTTTAGAACATTTTCATCACCTTAGAGAAGACCCCCAACTACTTAGCTATCCCTCCCGATCCTTACATCTCCTCCAGCCTTGACCAGCTGCCAGTCTATTTTCTGTCCTGATAGACTTCAGGATGTTTTGGACATTTTGGACATTTCATGAAGCTGAAGCGTGTCGCGTGTGACCCCTCGTGACCGGCTCCCTTCATTTAGCATTCTCTTCTCATAGTCCAGCCATGTGGCAGCAGGAGTCACTGCTCCCTTCCCCTTTATGGCTGAGGTTCCATTGTACAGATATGCCACGTTTTGTTTATTCATTCTTCAACTGATGGACATTCAACTTGTTTCTGCTTACCTAGCCAATTTTTGACAAAGGTACAAAAGCGACTCAAGGAAGGCAAGATATCCTTTTCCATAAATGGTGCAGGAGCAGTTGAAATAATACAAGCAAAACAAATAAGCCTTGATTGAAATCTCAAAGTTTATTCAAGCATTAATCCAAAGTGAATCATGGACTTAACATAAAATAATAACTATAAAACTTTAAAAAAGAATAAAAAAAAGCTCACTAGGGCTAGGCACAGAATGCCAAACTTGACATGAAAAATATGACACAGAAGAGGGAAAAAATAATAAAAGTGGACTTAACAAAATGGGAATATTTTGCTCTATGAAAGATCTTATTTAGAGGATGCAAAGACAAGGTAAACACTGAAAGAAAATGCTTGCTAATTTCAACTGTCCAACAAAAGATTGTCATGTAAACCACATAGAGAATACTCATAACACACTCTTTAAAAACCCCATTAGAAAATGAGCAAAGATATGAGGAGACGTTTGGTGAAAGAGGATATACGACCACAAGCCAGCACGTGAAAGAAATTCAACCGTATTATTATTTCAGAACATGAAAATTAAAACCACAAGTTATACATCAATCAGGATGAGCAATTCTGTTTTTAAAGTACCGGTGCCAAATGCTGGTGGGGGTGAAGAGAAATCTGATTTCTCCCACAGGAATATAAAAAACGGTATAGGCACTATGGAAAACACTTGATAGTTTCTTAGAAAGTTAAACTATTGTATCACCCAGAAATTGAATTTCTGGATATTTATCTCAGGGAAATGCAAACATGTTTACACAAAAACATGTGCATGGATGTTTACAGATGCTTTATGCATAATAGGCAAGCATGTGACAAAATCCAGATGGCCTTCCAAGGATAAATGGTTAAAGAAATTGTGATGTACCCATACCATGAGATACTTATTGTTTGGCTGCTAAATCATGTCCAACTCTTTGCAACCCCATGGACTGCAGCACACCAGGCTTCCCTGTCCTTCACTATCTCCCAGAGTTTGCTCAAATGTCCAGTGAGTCAGTAATGCCATCCAACCATCTTTTCCTCTGTCATCCCCTTCCCCTCCTGCCCTCAATCTTTCCCAGCATCAGAATATTTTTCCAGTGAATCAACTCTTCGCATCAGGTGGCCAAATTATTAGAGCTTCAGCTGCAGCATCAGTCCTTCCAGTGACTATTCAGGGTTGATGTCCTTTAGGATTGACTGGTTTGATCTCCTTGCTGTCCAAGCGACTCTCAACATCTCCAGCACCACAGTTTGGAAGCATCAATTCTTTAGTGCTCAGCTTTCTTTATGGTGCAATTCTCACATCTGTACATGACTACTGGAAAAACCATAGTTTGACTAGACAGACCTTTGCCAGCAAAATGATGTCTCTGCTTTTTTAGTAAGCTATCTGGGTTTGTCATAGCTTTTTTTCCCAAGGGGCAAGTGTCTTTTAAGTTTGTGGCTGCAGTCACTGTCCACAGTGATTTTGGAGCCCAAGAAAATGGAAACTGCTGCTGTTTCCACTTTTTTCCTGTCTATTCACCATGATGGGACCAGATGCCATGATTTTAGTTTTTTGAATGTTGAGTTTTAAGCTAGCTTTTCACTCTCCTCTTTTACCTTCATCAAGAGGCTCTTACGCTCCTCTTAGCTTTCTGCCATTAATGTGGTATCATCTATGTATCTGAGGATGTTGATATTTCTCCCAGCAATCTTGATTCCAGCTTGTGCTTCATCCAGCCCTTCATTTGGCATGGTGAACTCTGCATAGAAGTTAAATAAGCAGGCTGACAATATACAGCTTTGATGTACTCCTTTCCCAATTTTGAACCAGTCCATTGTTCCATGTTTAGTTTTAACTGTTCCTTCTTGACCTGCATACAGGTTTCTCAGTCGGCAGGTAAGGTGGTCTGATATTTCCACTTCTTTCAGAATTTTCAGTTTGTTGTGATCCACACAGTCAAAGGCTTTAGTGTAGTCAATGAAGCAAAAGTAGATGTTTTTCTGCAATTCTCTTGCTTTTTCTATGATCCAGTGGATGTTGGTAATTTGATCTCTTGTTCCTCTGCCTTTCTAAATCCACCAAATACTACTTAACTATAAAGAGGAGAGAACTCCCGACACACACATCAACCTGGGCAAACCTCAAGAGAATCACACAAAGAACAACCGCAAAGGCCATAGGCCACATGATTCCACTCACATAACATTCCTAAAATCATAGAAACGGAGAGTAGATTAGTGTTTGCCAGGAGTTGAGGGGGAGTGGAGGAGCTCTGAAGTGGACGTGGCTGGAAGCCGGTGGCATCAGGGGTCCTTGGGATGGTGGACACGTCTCTTGTCTTGACTGTCTCTCTATCAGTATCCTGGTTGTGATGAAGTTCTATCATTTTTTAAAACGATACCTTCGGACGGAACTCGATGAAAGTACACAGAATCTCTCTGTATTATTTCTTACAATTATGTGTAAACTGACAATTATCTCAAATTAAATGCTTAATCTTTAAAAACATGAAACAAGTGGGTCTACCAAATATAGCTTATCCTCCGTAAGAGTCATTTGCTTCCATTTTTAGGAGAGAAATTTATATGGAAACACAGAGATCCTAAGTGTAAACTCTGATGAGTTTTGATGTATGTTCACACCCAGGTGACCCCACCCGCTCAAGATACAGGACGCCCCCACCATCCCGGAAGACTCTTCAGGGCCCGCCCAAGTCAGTCTCTATCTCCACAGCAACCTGCATCTTAATTTCTGTCACTCTACATAATTTCCCCTGTTCTTGGGATTGGTAAAAAATGGATTTAAAAGTTTGTGTTCTCTTATGTCTGATTTCTTTTACTCCAATGTAACTTATTTTCTGGCATTAATCTTAGAGGTATCAAAAATACACCATCTTACTGCCGAGTTACCACTCAGAAATCCATCATCTGAAAATGCTGCCATTTGTTTTCCCATTTTTCCTGTTGATGGACATTTGGGGTGTTTCCAGTTTGGGACTGTGTAATGACAAAATCTACTAAGACAGTTTGGGCCAGCCTATTACAGATGAATGTTCCCACATAGTTCAGGTACATAGTTAAAAATAAGATTGATGGTCACGTGGTAAATAAACTCCCAATGTGGGAATGGCCGGTAGAATTCTCCTCCATAAAGCACGAGTTCTGGTTACCCCACATCTTCATGGTGCTTGGTATGTGCTGTTTGCTTCTGTGTTAATTTTAGCATCCTGGAGAGGGGTGACGTGCTGTCTCCCTTGGGCGTTAATCCACACTGTCTCTGATGATTAACGATATTCAGCAAGTTTTCATGGCCTTAATATTTAACTTGCATCAGTCATTTGAATACCTGATTCTGTGAAATGACTAATCCGGTCTATTAGACTTACTCTTTTGTTGTTAATGTGTATGTATAATGGATATCCTCTCTGTTCTGGATATTTTATAAAATACGTGTATTATTTATTGTCTTTCTACTTGTTTGTGGATTGTGCTTTCATTTTTCTGATGGTGTCTTTTGAGAAGCAAACATTTTAAAATTTGATGGAAGCTAACCTACCCATTGTTTCTTTTCTATTTCATGCTTCCTATATTCTCTTATATGCAACTATGAGGTTGGGAATAATGTGTTTCTTTCTAAAAAGCCTAATATTTCTGGATTTTATTTTTAGTTCTATGATACATCTTGCATCAAGTTTTATGTAATATAAGGTAGGGTTCAAATACTTGTTTTGTGGTATTGTGTTTTATACTTTTATCTAGTCGTTTCAATACCATTTGTTGAAAAGAATGTTGAAAAGTTCTCCCTATTCAGGAGTTTGTCAAGCCTTGGCTATTCTTGCCTTTTACACTTATATATGTATCTTAGAATTAGCATATTAAATATATATAAAGTGTATATTATATATATATAAAACATATCCTCACTTTTGATTATTTTGTTTGCATTAAAATTGTACATCATTTTGGGAAGAATTGAGTCTTCCTATCCATATATATGGTCTACCCACTTTTAAAGTTTTTTTAAAAATAAATATCTCAAGAAAGTTATACAATTTTAGCCATAAAGAAATTATACATTTTTTGTTGGATTACTCTTGGGAACCTCATCATTTTTGCTTCTATTTTAAATATTACATATTTCTAAATTATATGTTCCACTTGCATGCATTATGAAAATGCAAATAACTTTTATATATTGATTTTTCACAACTTGCCAAACTCTATTTTTATTCTTTTAGTATTTGCTCTAGAAAGTCTAACATGCATATTTAACTTAACAAAGTTAGAATATAATAAGTATCTGTCCTTCACCCCAGATTTACACGCTATTTTTGTGCATCGCGTTAGTCCTAATTGCATCCTGCCCGCACCTGCACCGCCTCTCTGCTCCCTCTTCCTGCGGCCATCCTGGACTTTCCTCCTGGTACCATGCATCTTCTTTCTCCAGAACCTCATCATGACTTCCTGTAGTGAGAGTCTGTGGAGTAAGCACTCTGTTTCTATCAATTTTCACAAGTCTTGATTCTGTGCTTGTTTTTGCGATTGTTTTTTTATTCCCTAGATGCTGGGTACTGTGTTCCATATTTACTGAAAAAGGTGAATTTTGTTATCACCTTTTAAATTTTTCCATACACTTGCTGACTTCCATATTTGTCAAGTTGTTCTATTGGTTACTAAAAGAGATGTGTTAAAATTTCTCAGTGAGTTTACTAATTTTGTCTACTTAAAAAAAATTCTTCCGATAAATATTTTTTGTATTTTGAGGTTATGTTATTAGGTACATATACATTCCCAGATGGCTCAGTGGTAAAGAAACTGCCTGCAATGCTGGAAACCTGGATTTGATTCCTGGGTCAGGAAGATCCCCTGGAGAAGGGAATGGCTACCTACCCCAGTATTCTTGCCTGGAGAATTCTGTGGACAGAGAAGCCTGGCATGCCATAGTCCACGGGGTTCCAAAGAGTCAGACATAACTGAGCGACTAGCCCTTTATCTTCTTACATCATTATATGCCACTTCCCTTTAATCCCTGATAGTGTTTCTTGTCTTAAAGCATACCTTGATATCAGCGTACAAAAACCAGCTTTCTTTTGGCTCCTGTTTATACACAGGGCTGTCCCTAGTGTCAGTGAGACCCTGGGCAAAAATTTTATGTGGGGTACTGCCTATAAAAATAATTTAAATTAAAAATATATTAGAGACACATGGTCCTCTTGAGGTATCATGATTTATCCATCAAGATTCAGAATGGACAGAGACACAGGTTTATTCTCCAATCTGCATACATGAAGATGCTTGGTCGCTGGGACACACCATCTCTTTCTGCTCAGGTCCAGGAGTCTTATCTTTGTCACTTATTGCCAAGTGCACCATCCCTGGCCAATTCCTCACCTCTCAACAGAAGGGAAAGGTGGTGATGCTGTTGTGCCCTGCAGTACGTGGCCCTGGGGACCTGTGTGTCTGGGCCAGTCAGGGCCTCTTGATTCCAGGCTTTAACCGTGTGCACGCTGCCCTCTGCACCATCACTCCGGAAACTGCTCCATCCGTTCTGGTGCCTGAACACTGGCTTCCGCGAGCCGCTCAGGGCTCGTCCCCGGACTTCTGTGATGGTGACCACACACACCAGTCTCCTTCCGAGCACACGGTGGACATGCTGGGGTCTGCTGCAAGTCCAGAAACTGGGGACTTCCCACTTCTGTGCATTCTGCAAAGGATTTGGCAATCATCTCTGAATATTGTCTCTCTTTTTTTTTCTTTTCTTCTTCACCCCCCGAAACTCTTCCTGGATGCACATTGGCCATTTGGCTTCACTCTCGCTGCTTCCTCCCACTCTTACCTCGGCCGGTGACTCCCCCTGTGGTGTTTCTGGGTGATGCTTCCTCTCTCTCATTCATTTATCTCTTCAGCTCTGTCTAATCTGCTTTTCAGTCCACAAATTGTGTTTTAAACCTCAAACACTTTCTCATTCTCTAAAAGGTTTATTAAATAAACTTACAAATTCACCTACTTGCCTTTTATAATCTCTTATTTTTTTAGAGGCAATTTTAGTACATTGCTTTAAAATATTTTTTAAAGCGTACACAAAAATACTTAAATGTCAACCACACCTATTTCATATTCCATGTCCTGCAATTCTAACACTCTCCTTCCTTTGAGGTGGGATGCTTCTCTTTTAGTCTTTTTTCTGCAAACCTCCGTCCCTCTCTCCTCCTGTGGGTCTTGCTTGGCAACGTCCCTTTCATCTTCTTCTATGTCATGTCTCTGGGCATTTACTATGTCTTCTTCAAGAGGGTTTGTATTCCTTACTGCCTGGGGCCACCTCCCATCAGGGACCACTTTGAATATGTTTTTCCCATGTGGGACAGTTGGTGGTTATAAACTACCCGAAGATGCATTCCCCACCAGCCAGCTGGAGTCTGTTGCTCGACCAGCAAGTTTCCGACCATCTCCTTTGCAGGAGAGTCCCCCCGGCTCCCAGCTCCGCCTGGAAGCCTCAGGCAGTCTGTCCCCACAGCGCCGCACGGGAAAGCCAGCGCACTTGGTTCCACGGACGGCAAGTGTCCAGGTCAGATGACGCCTTCAGTTTAACCATGTTTCCATGTAGGATTCCCTTGTCATTTTCAGCTTCTAGGAATCCCTCTACCTTTTCTTTACTCCCAAATCAGGAGTCACTTCAGTCGTGTCCGACTCTGTGCGACCCCATAGACGGCAGCCCACCAGGCTCCCCCGTCCCTGGGATTCTCCAGGCAAGAACACCGGAGTGGGTTGCCATTTCCTCCTCCAGTGCGTGAAAGTGAAGTCGCTCAGTTGTGCCCGACTCTTAGCGACCCCACGGACCGCAGCCCGCCGGGCTCCTCCGTCCACGGGATTTTCCAGGCGAGCGTACAGGAGCGGGGTGCCATCGCCTTCTCCGAATCGTGTGCTAGTGCTAGGTCGCTTCAGTTGGGTCTGACTCTTTGCGACCCTATGGACTGTAAACCGCCGGGCTCCTCTGTCCATGGATTCTCCAGGTAAGAGTCCTGGAGTGGGCTGCCATGCCCTCCTCAGGGGATCTTCCTGACCCAGGGACTGAACCTGCACCTCGTATGTCTCCTGTATTGACAGGTGGGTTCTTTACCACTGGAGCCACCTGGGAAGGCCTGTACTTTTGTCTCAGTGTTCCACCATAGAAACTGTGTTGAAAGCATAACTCATTTGACCAGTGTGAGGAAGAGTTCCGGTCTGTTATGTTCCTGCCTCCATGAGCACGATGCGTGCTGTTTAGAGCCGAGAGACTCTTTGGGCAGAGGGCAGGGGGAGTCCTCATGGCTGTGGGCCCCCTGGAGTGCTCTGGGGCCTCCCCACCCCCAGGGAGTCTCCGTCACACCCCGGGGCACCTGAAGCTGCTCCACCAGAGTCAGGAGGACAAGGGGGAGGGGGGTGGTCCTTGGACAGGCCCTGAGGGCCAGGGACCCAGGGGTGCCTTCCAGCGCCAGGTGGAGAAGTGGGACCGGAGCCAGGGTGGCGAGGAAGACGATGTGGGAGGAGAAACAGGGACAGGGCGGGGAGGCGGAGGGGCTCTGATGGGCACAGAGGCAGCCGGTATCTGGGGGGCAGGCCACCCGGGCTCAGGCCTGCTCCTAGTCTCAGAGCCTGGCGCTGAGCTGACCTGTCCCCCGAGTCAGGCTGGTACCCTCGATGGTCAGAAGAGCCCCACACCCAGGAAGGACGTGGCTATTGCCACCAGAGAAGGTGATCAGTTCCCGTGTGGCCCCGCACCCCAGCGGGACACGACTGCACTATTACAACCAGAGAAGGCGATGTTGCTGCAGGGCTGAGGGCACTTCTGCCCGAGGGCTGGCGGAGAGGACTTGTTCCCAAAGCTGGGTCTGTGTCGCATCACTGGCGCTGGGCGGAGGCACGGCCCTGGCCCAGGCAGATGCCCGCCCAGCCCCTCCCAGCGCTGCCCAAGCAGCCAGGCCTCCACTTTGGGTGAACATTGACTTTCACAGACTCAGACGGTCACTCTGGCTGGAGAGAGAGAGAGCGGGAGCAGGGAGGGACCGTGGGAGAAGGGGCACCATGCTCAGACCCACGCAGCGGGGCTGGCCCCGAGGGGCTGAGCACAGCAGGCGCAGGGTGGGTCTGGGTCCCGCAGGACGGGGCTTTTTGGGGTGTCTGCCCTGTGGGCACCCTCTCTCCTCCTCAAACCTGTCTGTCCCCCTGTAATTCGTCCGGGTCTTGCTGATAGGACAGAGCCCTGGGGTGTCCAGGGACCAGGAAGCCGGCCCCGCTGGAGGGCCCCCGGGTGCAGGGGGCAGTGGCGGCTGAGTCCGCAGTGGGGACACAGCTCCCGGGCTGCTGCAGCCCCGCCGCTGTCCGCGTGTGCTGGGGTCTTCTCACACGGAGCCGAGGAGGCAGCAGCGTGCAGACGGAGCTGGGCTCACAGCCTGCGCTTGCTTCTGGAATGCACAAGCCTGTGCCCGCTGGGGCGGACGGTGCTCTCCCCGGAAGCAGAGCTTCGGGGAGGTGTTTGCCCCGGCCCTCCCTCAGGATTGTTTTGTCTTATCTTATAAACCTTTGCCTTTTTCTCTGTGCCAAGCGCAGTGCCACTTCTGAGACATCTGAGGCTGCAGAGGGGTGGCCACGGCTGGCCAGCCTGGCACCTGACCCAAGGGCCCCAGCTAGCAGGTGGGACTTACAGAGTTCAGGGACCCAGAGTGGGGTGAGGTCTTGAGGCAGTTTCACTGGTTGGGAGTGCAGAAAGGCTGCCATCCAATCAGCAAGTCACGGCAGGAAGGCCCCTCGACGGCGCAAACTCCACGGGCTCTGGCACATTTTGATTTGGGAATGGAATTCAGAAACTTCTGCACACGAATGCAGGAAACACATGTGCCTCCGTAAGTCACAGGTTGAAAGCCAACCCCGCAGGCAGAGGCGGGGCCTCCGGGAGATGAGCGGATGATACTCGTGGAAATGGAGCCCTTGGAGGGATCAGTGTTCTTGTCGGAGCCCCAGGGACCTTGCTTTCCTTCTGCCCTCGGCTGAGAGCGCACAGCGGGAAGACGGCCGTCCACCGGCCGGGAAGCCCTTCCCCGGCAGAGTGGGATCTACCCATGTCTCCATCTTGGCTTCACCAGCCTCCTGAACTTTGGCAAGTAAAGGCTTGCTGTGCAAGCCTCGAACCTCTGACAGTCTGTCGCCGCAGCTGATGGACTGGGACGCCTTTCCTCTCCTCGAGCTGCTGTGTTCCAGGCAGTGGGGACACAGCCTGACCAGGGGCTGAGGTCAGGGACACGCTGGGGGACAGAGAAACGCGGTAAACATGGGACGCGTGTGCCGTGTCCACCTTCATCAGCCTCGGTGACATCCTCCTCAGTGGGTTCTGCTGGCAACGTCCCCATAGGGTCTCCCCCACTTTGCCTCCATCAGGTTCGTCCTAAGATGATGTGTCCTACCTCTGGTTGCCACCGGGGGATACTGAGCCTAGGAAGGTGGGTAGACTCGTCCAGAATCACATGGCCACTCAGGATACACGGGCGCAGGCTGAGCTCAGAGACCCCACACTGTGTGAAAACGCTGACTTGATTCAAGCCCCTCTCACCTGTGGACGTCAGGTAGCTGGCCAGAAGTGCCAGGTGGTGGGGGAGACGGGATCCTTACGAGCTGGGCGTGGGGCCCCTGCCCCCAGCGCTTATAGACACCCCATGGAGTGGCTGAGTGCAGGGTGCAGGCTGCCGCTTTGCCGAGCCAGCCCGCCCTGCCTGGTCTCCTGCTCACCCCAGGAGGCTCGCAGAGCAGGCTGCTGAGCAGCGTGGCGGCCTAGCTGTCCTTCCGCCAGTGTCCCCGCAGAAGCTTCACTCCCGGGACACCCTGGTTTCATGGAGGCACCTCCACCTCACTACCTAGCTCCTTAAATAATCAAAACTCCTGCCCTGCCTGATTCTGAGCAGAGAAAAAGGTCAGAAGTTGGACGCCCCAGAGACTGGTCCCAGAGCAAGTCTGTTTCACTCTATTTGTTAATGAGTTGGAAGGGTCAGAGAAAAGGTTAAGTGGGAGAATTTGCTGAATTCACAGAATTATTTAAGTTAACAGTTCAGGGGAGAAAAAACACAGACCATCTTCCGTGAACTTTTCTTCCCCCTTACCCTGAGAACATTTTATCAAGGTGAGAATTACAGCGAGCATTTCAAGCGTCTCCTCCTTTTTCCTGTTGGGATACAGCTCACTGTTGAGGTCAGAGAATTGGCATTTGAAGGATGATGACCACTGTGCTCAGACTGTCACCTCTCCGGAAGACGCGCTGCTTGGTGAAATCGAAGACTTTGGAGAACAGCTGTCTGGCCACACCCTGCCAATGGGAAGGGAAGCAGGGTCAAGGCATGTATGAGGTCAAGGGTGCGTCATCCCGGCCTAGCCCTAGTCTGTGAAGGCCCCACATCCACCCCTCTCAGCGCTCTGAGCCCCGGCACTCGGCTCCCACCACCGGCTGCGTCAGGGCATGCTTGGCCGGCTGGCGGCTGGCCCGGCGAGCCGGTGTGGGGGGCCTGGCACCCGGGCACTGCGGTCGCTGCTCACAGATGGGGAGGGGCATCGTGATGCTCGGCATCCTGGCCAGCTCTGCTGCTGGGAACGCCGCGGACAGTCCTCCGCCCAGGAATCTTGCTCTTCTGGAGCCTCTAGGGAAACAGCCGTGGCTGTGTGCTGGACGCAGGCCATACTGTAGACTCAGCGCTCGTTTGACCCTGGTTGGAACTGCAAAGCAAAGCCTCGCACAGAAGAGGTGGACGAGCCGGTGGAGGGAGGTGAATGCTTTCCAGACGCTAATTGCTGGCGCCTCTCACCTTCCCTGGCCCAGGCCAGTCCAGCGGGGTTTCCCCAACCTCCCGTCACCTGGTGCTCTGGATAACGGCCCCAAACAGTAAGACTGCATTATAAACACTCTTGATAATCTATATTCTTCCCCAGCTCCCACCAAGCTGCTTCTCCTCCTAAACTGCTCCCAATTAGCCAGGCTGCTGTGACACGTCTGCCACCCCTGGCCCCTCTTATGAGCCAGGGTGCGGCCCGGCCACTGTGTCATTAAGCTGAAGGATGCCCAGGGCTCTCCCCATGGGGCCAGGGGTGATGGGAATTCGCTCCTTAAGAAAACCGGGGCGAGTGCTCAGTGTCAGACAGGTTGGAGCGGGATTAACACAGTGCCTTCGTCTGGTGTGGGGTCGGCAAGCTCTGATGGAACAAAATGCAACTATACCCAAGCACAAACATCTCTGTCCAAATAGGTAGTCTGGGCGTTTTCTGACTGGCAAAAGGCCCACTTAGCATGTGTCATGATTGTTGTCTGGCTTCCTAGTTGTCAGGCCTGTGGAAAAAATGAGAACAATTTCGTGTCTCCAGACCCTGCGAATCACACCAGACGATGTGAGCGCCAAAAAGAAGCTGACGCATCATGTGGCCTCTGAGACGGCACGGCGCCGACTGCTGTCGGTCCCTCCTGGTCTAAGTGTCCGTAAGTCCTGTTCTGATAGGATGAAAGCCCCGCCCCCAGCGGGGGTCGGCAGACATCCCCGGACGTGAAGGGGCCGGGGCAGCAGGACCCCCACCGCTGCCGGGAGCCTGCGAGCACCCAGCTGCTCCCCCGACCTCTGGCCGCCCTCCCTTCTCACCCGGGTCTAAGGAGAAGGAAGGCCGGGCTGGGGCGGGGCCTCGGGGAGGATGCTGGGCCCGCCCCTTGCCCCCGTAGGCTCTCAGGCCCGGGCACCCCGGATGAGCAGGGCCCCCGTGTCGTCGTGGCTGCCTGTTTGGTGCTGTCATGTCGTCGCCACCCCCTGGACTCTAAGCTTCACGGGGGCCATCTCTCTCCCTCACGGTCATTCTCTAGAGCCCAGGGCCCAGGCTGCTGCGGCCTGGGTCCCTGGAAGTCGCCTCTCTGGGTGGACACCTCCCAGGGCCTGGCTGGCCCCTAGCCCCTCCCTGGCTGGGCACCCTCAGGCAGGACACGACCTGCAGAGCCCTGGCCGCGTGACTGTCGGCTGGATGGAACATGGTCAGATCACTGACCTGTCTTTGCACCCACTGGGGACTCAGCAGTGACCTGGGCTGGACTTCCCTCCAACATGAGGAATCCTCTGGTCTAGTCGTTGGAGGCCGGGAGCTTCTTACTAGGGGTGGTGGAGAGAGGAGAGGACAGAGCTCGGTTCCTGCTGTCCAGGCCCCACTGAGCTGACCAGGGATCAGTGTGGACCTTGAGAATGGCTCTGCAGAGGGTAGCAGCTGAAGGTATGGGAGGGCGGTGGTTGGGGGCGGGGAAGGTCTGCCTTGTCCTGGGCATCCTAGGACTAAAACCTCAAGTATCCACTGGGGAGGTGTCTGGTTTCAAGGGCTCCATGGTGCCCCACACAGCGTCTATGCACCCCAGCATTTGGGATCGATGGATAGGTGGGAAGTCAGGTGGGTAGATGGGCAGTTCTTTATAACTACAAAGTGGACAGGCTGCTGAGTGGGGTGCACTGCTGACCCACCCCTGTCGGGGCAGACTCCCCTCTCTTCCTGCTCGTCCTCGCTGGCTGTCTGCTCTGCTGTGGGTAATGTGGTTCCTCTGGGGATTTTCAACAATGTGGGGAACCCCTCATGCTGCGATGCTGAGTGAAAAATAAGGTTTAAAATTATTTGTTATAAAATGCAATTTAACATAAAATGTAATAAGATACACTGTGTATAATAGACATGATCACGATAGAGATGAGTAGAAAAAAAAATATACTGTGGAGGGAGGTCAACAAAGGTTCATATTCCTTTTTCTTCCTGTGGGCTTGATTCATGATGCTTTGCTATATTT